ATCTGGATCCAAGTAAGGCGTCATACCATAATTTTGATTCCCTAATTCATCAGCAAACTCAGATTTGATAGTAACAACTCTCTGATCCTCAATCAGTTTAAATACAAACCAATTTTTGTATTTTAATAAAAATAAAGTTTTTCTATGATGAAACAATTATACATTTAAAACTTTCTGTTTACAATGAGAAACTTCAGCTCGTATGCTGTGTTTGCCAAACAAGAAATCAGACAGAAAATTTTTTTCTGAATAAAAAATTACACTGAACGGAAGATGCAAGTAATGAGAGGTCAGTTTATTTCAGTCACAACTCTGGTCTGGAAAAAAAAAGTCTTTCTTATAACAACTTTTAAACATATACATGACAAAAAAGTTTGCTAAAACGATGTCTATACACATAAATTAAAATACTATACAATTCTATAGCTTCTCTGCTTCTTATTGTACATATATGGATTTTTTTAATATCACTATCAGTTTTCACAGAAACCACTTTGGTTACACATGCCAGCAAACTTTTCACAAATCCAAGAAAAAATATTAAAAATAAGAACTAAATAAATGATACAACAGAACAAGAAATAGTTGATCATAATTTTCCATCTTAGTCTGTTTTTTAGGAACCTTTTAACTGACAATCAGTTACATACAACTTGTACAACTGCTGAGGAATGGTTAGTCAATTCAAAGATAAATTCTTCTTAAGTCGTTAGGGGAAGTAATCATGTTACACTGTGGACACAACTTTTTGGCCCCCTAAAATAAGAGAGAGAAAATAAAAAATAAATATGAACTAACATCGTGGAGACTTTTACAACTGAATGACTGAGATAATATGATTTGCTTAAACTTAAGTTTTCAAATACAAAGAAACAGTCTATATATACTGTAAAATATTAATAATATACAATTCAAAGATATAGAGCTTAAATTAATTTCAAACGTTTTACCAAGTATTACAATAGTTTTTGACCTTGCTTTCTCATGTTCTGGGAGGTGTAAAATTCTCATGATTGTTATATGTACACTGAGTGGTCACAAGTACATAAACACCTAATTTTTCGTAATTTAACTGATTTATGCTAACTAATTTGTGTTCACAGAGCACTATATAAATGAAAATGGTCCGCACACTCATTATCTTGTGCTACAACATGCCTAGAACTCAAGGTTCTCTCGAATTGTAAGATTTTGTTAGAGG